GTCTACCCCGTCACCAGCCAAGCCAGACACCCAGCTGTCCCACCCTCCCTCTCCCTCAACCCCACATCCAGTCCTTGACCTTGACGGCATCCTCCCTGGCAACCCGCTCCGCCCCTTCCTGTCCAGCCCACTCCCTTCACATCTGACCTCACATAGGTCTCCCGGCCCCCTCCATGCCTCCCAGCCGCTGCCAGAGTCACGTTCCGACATCACTGATTCAGTCAGATGTCCCACCCCAGTGGCCGAAGAATGAACCTGAAGCTCCTTCGGTGGCTTTACTCGAGACTTGTCCGCACCACGCTTCTGTCCAGCCGCTCTGGCTTCCAAGTCCGCCACCGTGCCGGCTGCGTGTGGGCCTCCTTGTCTGTGCTTGTGTAGGTCCCTGTTCCCGGAGTTTTCTTCCTTCCCCTTCACCCCATCTCTCCGTCTCAGACTCCCTCGGCCACCCCTGTCTGGCCAACACCGACACTCTTCCCATCTGCACCCCAGAAGTCCCATCTTCAGGAGGAAACATTTACGGCTCCTTTCCTCTTGTCCTCACTCCCCGTTTCATTCAAAAGGCTTTTTGTAGCTTCCAGGTCTCTATTCTACCAGACCCCTTTGGCGGAGGGCAGCGGTGGAGGCAGCAGGTGGACAGGGGTGGGGTTGGACTCTGGCACAGGCCACTCCCAGGAGGCCGCTGGTGGGCTAAGAACAGGCTACGTTGAATGGAAATAAAATGAATTCAAGGGAAGGCCTACAATAACTTCAACAAACTTAGCCTCTCCTATCCTCCCTAATTTTCTGTCTGTTCTTTCCCTTCAGTCTTCTCTGCCTTTTCTTTCCTTCACTCTCTCCTTCTGTACCCCTTGTGTCTTTCCTCTTTTTTCCGCCCCCCCTCTGGCTTCTTTTTTTCCCTTCTTCCTTCTGTAGGAGCTTGCACCAGCTCCTAGGTACGCCTGTCCCCTTTTCCTCTGTTGTATCTCTTTCCCCTGCGCCACATCTTTGAGGCCTCATTTGTATCTACGTTCTACTAAAAGAATTGGCTTGTTGCCTGCAGACACAGTTATTTGCTTTGGAGAATTTAGCCAGGAGGATGGTAAGATTGACAAATGAGGTCACAGAAGGAAGAAAACCTGGCAGATTTTCAGACCTAGAGTATCAGTTGGATGTAAAACCCAGACAAGGTCCTTGGGTAGAAATGCTAGTTAAGAGTCCTCCTAAAAATAAGAGGAGATAGGGCGCCTGGGTGGCTCAGTCAGTTAAGCAGCTGCCTTCGGCTCGGGTCATGATCCCAGGGTCCTGGCACCGAGCCCTGCGTCGGGCTCCCTGCTCCCCAGGAGGCCTGCTTCTCCCTCTCCCACTTTCCCTGCTTGTGTTCCCTCTCTTGCTGTCTCTCTCTGTTAAAAAATAAATGAAATCTTAAAAAAAAAAAAAAAGAGGAGATAATAACCATGTGAGCACAGTATTTAAGTTCTTCCCTCAAGAGGAGGTGTTTGTCTTTCCTTTGAAGATGCAAGGCATCCTGGCCCCAGAATATGCCTGAACACCCATTTCTGCCCCTGGGGGAGAGGAACGTGCACTCCGCCCCACTCGGTGGGGATGCAAGGGCTCTGGAGACCTCGCAGACCTTCTCAGTGCTGCATGCGTGTCCCTCAGCACCTTCCTCAGCCCCCAGGAGACAGGAGGCAGGTTCACACTGCCTGCTGCCCACCGTTCTGCCACTGTTCCTCAGCGAGAATTTTGTGGGATGGGGGTGATCCATCTGCCTTTGCTCCCCTCAGGGGCCCTGGGACCTCTCGGGAACAAGGTGGGGTGTCCACCCTGTTTCACAAAAGGAACACACATAAGTGGCAAAGAGTCCTGAAGCCAAATGGGATCAATGTGATTTTCCTCTGTGTCCAGTGATTTTTTTAATAGCAGGAATTTGGATTAGGTGTATAAATGGTTTCAAGCCCAAAGGAGACACTTGTCAGTTATGTTAAAACTCTAGTCACCTGGCACAGACAGCAGTCCAAACGTTTCTCTGGTGTTATTGTCTCTGAAAGTGTCATCCATTGTGGTTGGTTACTGAAGAGAGAAATGAAAGCAGATAGGTTTGTGAGCAGTCCCTCTGCTCTGCTTAAGGTTATCAGGACCTGCTCACTGCTATACTGTGAACGTAGAGGGACCTGCAGAAATTCTGTTTTTGCATCGAGATGGAAAACTGGCCAGGGTTTTAAGGATGATCTAATCCAACCCTCTTGCTTTACAGCAGTGGGGTGTGAGGCTCAGAAAGGCCAATGATGTGCGTGAGATGACAGAATTGAAGGCAAAACTGAGAGTAGAGTTCAGGGACCTTCCTACAGACATACCGTGGCCTTTGCAATAACTCATGGTCTAAGGCCCTACCAGGTTAAGCAGGTGCTGAGGGCTGGTTCCATGTATCCCCCAGCAATATTCACACCAAAACAGCCACGGCACTCAGCAGACCCCGGACCCAAGTTACTGTCAGGGAGGTACCTCAAACAGCGGGGACAATGGCACCTGGGAGTGTGGGGTGGGGTTGGCACTGGCGGGCCCATCAGCGATGCTGAGCAAGACAGAGTGGAAGGGGAAAACGGCTGTCTGTGTCATGAGGGTTCCAAGAATAAATGACCATCCTTTCTACAAAGCAGGCTGGAGGCTCTGGATCCTGGTGAAAAGGGGGCCACCTCTATATGCCTGCAAAGAATAAATAACAGCTCTTCCTTCCCAACAAACACTCAAAGCCCAGCCTTCCCCAAGAACTCTGGTCCCCAGTGCTGCACACCCTTGTGTTTGCCACTCCATACGTAATTGAAGTGCCTTAAGGAAGCATAAATAATCTTTTTCTATTTAATCTTCAAGGCTGGAGTCCTGAGTGTGTCAGCATTCCCCCTCATTCCCAAGTCGAGCCATGGAAACTAAAGTGCAGCCACCAGACATAATGGTTCAGCAGGGCCCGTGTCAATGCGTGCACAGTAGTGTGTTAATGAGTGTTAAAACTGACATCGCAAATACAGCGTTCTCAATTTTGAAAATTACAACTCTGTAACAAGTCATGCTGTTAAAACATACAAGAAATACCAGTTAAGCCTTCAAGTAGACAACACATAGCCTGTACAGATCACTGCTATCCCAAAGTGCAGAACAAATCATTTTCTTTGAAATGAGGCAAGAATTAGCAGGTAGTTCAATTATTTGAGTACTAAGAGAAGTAGAAATAACAGATCCAAATGTTAAATACCAATTACTACCTTAGGAGCTACAAATCAGCTCGGCATTACAACATGCCCCTCCTCAGGAGCAAACCCAGGAAATGAGGGCACTTGGCTTAAAACACAAATCTATAACCAATATCCATGCAATAAAGACACAGTGTCACTTCCAACCGGCACTTTTGAAATGTTCATCACATGTGTTGTCAGAAGGGCCTGGTCCATACCTGTGTCCCAGTGGCATTGAAAATAACAACTTTCAAATGCTGGGAGTGAAGTTGCTCTTAAGCCACAGCTGGAAACAAGTGACCTGAAGCTTCTATTGTGTCCCCCTAAAGGAGGTTTATGGGTCAGTCTGACAGCCTGGTGGCCAAAGATGCCACCTCATAGTTGTATCCTTACCTCCAGAAACAGAGCATAAAATTAACCTGATCCTCCCTGACTAGTTTCAGAGACCAGAAGAAACTGCCACATAAGATGTTACCTAGACAGAGCCCAACGGAGAGCACTTATACTCCATACCTTGGTGGTACTTGGAGGAAAGGAAGGCTATTTCTCCCTAGGTCACACCCAGGCGCCATCCTTTGTGGGAATTAACTCCAGGGTTCAAGCCAGCTGGGTTGTTCTCTCTCCCTCTGTTCTGAAACCACCACTTGGAGAAGTCAATGCTATTAGGACATTCTCACTCTCAGAAGTGACTAAAGTTCCAGGATGGGCACAGCGATATTTTATACAAGTGTATAAATATGTACAAGAGATGTTAAAAAGACAGTCTCTAAAGCACTTTGGGATTCCCCCAATGAAAGGCACCAAATAAATGCAAGTCATTACTAAAATGGAAAGTCAAGTTTTCTAGCTTTCGCATCAGCGAAGAGTAACCACTGGGGGTTATCTCTTTTTTGGTGGTAAAACTTGCCTGTTGAGAAAAATACTCATGAGAGTGACCAAGTTATTCTGCCTCCTGCCTTTGTTTCAACTTATCACAAGCTTGATGGCCAGTGACCATGGATACCGTGCTCGGTGACCCGAGAACCCCGATCCTTGCCCAACTGAACAGTCCCCGAAAGTTTGCACCCTCACCTGCCCGCAGTGCAGCTGGGGATGATCTCATAAATTCTCCACCATCCAGTGCTGGAAGCATGAGCCAAACCTAGTGCTCCATGCACACCATGTGCAAGCTCTAAAAAACAACCCTGCTCTTCTGACTGATGCCCAGTTGCCCCCAAGTCATCTCACCTTTCCTGATGCTTCTACAAAGAGACATGGACGGTAGACCACCAGGCACTGGGAGGTGGCCACCTCCATGCCCCCCATGAGGCTCCAGTCTCATGGAAGAATTTGAACTGGAGACTCAAGGGTGTAAGGGACCACTGTGTTCATCCAACCATTTGCCCACTCCGTAGAAGCCATGGCAACTATAAGTAACAAAGCCTTCTGACAAGACCCTGAGGTATGTGTTTTCTTCAGCCAGCTCAGACACAAAATGGACCTCTGTAGAGAAGGCCCAAATCTTGGATAAAAAGCCTGCCTAACTCCTTACTTAGACCCCTGGATTCAGCAGCCTTTCCAAAAACAACAATAATGGAAGCCAACCGACGAACCACCTGATTACCTGGAGAACTATGTTACAAAGGGGCCCAGGTTCCCTTCACCATGTTGTGTGCTAGTTTGACTGAAGAAGAGGAGAGAGGGCATTGTGGAGAAGGAAAGCATTCTCAACTTTCAACCCAAGTTTAAAAATTTAAAAATTCAAAGGTCTTTTAAGGAGCAGTAAGCTTTTCAAGAAGTTTGCAATTGATGGCATTTTATGCAGTAACAATGTTTTGTTTTACAACTCTTTCCTTGCTCCTGGCCTCTACCCACCCTCTCCCAACAAAAGGTCATTGAAAATGGAAGTAAGCGCTACAGTATTTCCGTCCTGGGTAAGCCACACAGAACTTCACTCATGCATGTCTATATTTTGAGTACACACTTCCACACTGCCGGGTTTCCACATCATACCAGGAACTCCAGGGCAATTAGAGCGTCATATATAACATACTGTATCCTAGAAGCAAAATGATCCTTCGGCTCGGAAAGAAAGGGGCTCTAATTTATGAGCTTCCAGAGCAGGCAACAAAGTTTCTAAGCTACTGCCCTTGTTAGCAACCCAATAATGTTTGCCTTAGGGAGATAATAACAACAGTAAACCTCTTTTTAGTTGAGAAAGACAACACGACCTTACTTCTAAACATCTTAAAAAATAAATATTGCCAAAACATGCTTTTATCTAAGACATAGCAAAATTTCGTCAAACGGCCTAGCCCAGGAACCTCAGCTAGAAATAAACGTCTTTATGGCCACCCTAGGAAAGATGAAGGCCTGGCTTTGAAAGGTCTTCATGTATCCCATGATTCGGCCTACAGTGTAGCTGAAGCCCTGTCCCTAATGCTTCTCTTCTTGGGAAAAAAAAAATCAATCATCACTACATGTTTAACTGAGTAACATTCTCTAAAGCCGACATTTACGAGATGAACATTAGTGTACATCATTCTATAGGTGACCGGGGTACCCATGCAAGTCACATTGCTACAGATTATTGGTAAAAACAACTCACAGACTTGCATTGGTCCTGCGTGCTTAACTTCAGATTCTTTGTTTTGGTCACAACACTAAATGAAAGCAATGGATAAAGAACTGAGATTCTGTTTTCACATGACTGAGCAAAATCTCATCACAGCCTTGCCGACCCCACAGATGTGTTTCCACCGGACAGACTTGTGGGGGCTTTTGGTACAGGACTCACAAGACAACCTCAGAGACGAGAGCACAGAACACTCACAGTACTGGGCCACGAGCACTAGAATAGAGCACACGATAAACAGAAAAAATTAGCATTCTGGGTGGTACTCATCTGGCAGAAAGGTGAACACTGTATGCCCACGAAGCAAAGACCAGTGAGTGTCATTTCATGGAAGGGTGCAAAGGCGTGGTGTCTGACGCAACACCCTCTAAAAATGATTCTAAAGGCTGTGAAAGCAACCTGGGGTGCATATCCCATGCATCTCTCCCCTGTGGGGCTGGACCTACTCCTTAGGCCATAACCCTAAGGCGCCCGAACTGTGCCAGAGGCACAAGAGGCAACTCAGCAACGTGGGTGTGAGGATGACGAGCCCTCTCAGCTAATGTAGGGAATCATTTAAACTTAGTTCACTTGGTGAGCTCCTGCTCATGTTCGTCAGGCTTGCCATGAGGGATTTAACTTTATGGGCATAGTAGTCCCTTAAATTGACGGAAGGGACTTCCTTCATTCCATCTCCAAAGTCACAGCTGCGCATGGCACTCTCCAGTTGCTTTTGGCGCCGGTAAAAGTGGGAGAACTTATTGAAGATCAAGGTGATGGGCAGTACCACCACCAGGATACCGGCCAGGATGCAGGCGGAGGCAGTCAGCTTCCCTGCCGTAGTTCCTGGGACCACATCCCCATATCCCACAGTGGTCATACTGACGGTGGCCCACCACCAGCAGGCGGGGATGGTGGCCAGGCCCTCGTTCTCCTCCTTTTCAATGGTGTAGGCCACGACGGAGAAGATGGAAATCCCCACAGAGAGATAGAGCAAAAGCAGCCCTACTTCTTTGTAGCTGTATTTCAGGGTGGCCCCCAGGGAGCGGAGGCCAGTGGAGTGTCTAGCCAGCTTTAAGATGCGGAAAATCCGCATCAGCCTCAGCACCTGGGCCACCCGGCCCAAGTTGGCCAAGGTAGGTGTGCTCTCCACCACCAGATTCACCACCAGAGTGATGTAAAAGGGGACGATGGACATGAGGTCAATAAGGTTTAGGGCATTCTTGAAAAACTTGAGGAAGTCAGGGGCCACAGCAAACCTGGCCACCAGCTCAAATGTGAACCAGGCGATACCAAAGTGCTCCACAATTTCGAACCTGGGGTCCTCCCCCGGGTTGCCCTGGCTGTCAGGTATTTGGAAGTCCGGCAGGCTATTCAGGCACATGGTGGTGATGGACCCCAACACCACCAGGATGGACAAGATGCTGAAGACCCGGCTCAAGACCGAGTAGCCAGGGTTGTCCAGCGCCAGCCACAGCTGCCTGCGGAAGTTGCCCAGCGGCTGCCCATCGAACTTGGAGGCGTCGTTGTAGAACGCCAGGATCTCATCGAAGGAGGACGTGGTGCTCTCCTGGTCGCTCTGCTCGTCCCACTTCTCCTGCTCGGGCTCCACTTTGCGGCCATGATAGCTGTAGCTACAGCAGGAGTCGATGAAGAACTCGTTTATGCCCCAGTACTCGATCTCCTGGCTGAAGGAGAAGACGCACAGCTCCGCCATGACGTGAAGCTTGCCGGTGTGGTAGAAATGCAGCACGTAGGGGAAGAGCTCGGGGTTGCGGTCAAAGTAGAACTCACGCTGGACATCGTCGTAGTCATCGCAGAGCTCCAGAATGGCCTCGCGCGAGTGGCAGAGTAGCAGGCGGCCCAGGCGCGTCTCAGGGAAGCGCAGCAGGGTGTGCGAGCGCAGCCGCCTCTTGAAGCCTCCTACGTTGATGCGGATCTCTCCGTCTTCGACGTTGGCCTCGGACACGTCCCACAGGCTCTGGCGGGTCATGCTGGAGACGCCCGGCCGCCCGTGCCGCGCGGGGGCGCTACACCTGCAGGCGGAGGAAACCACGTCTTGTGAGCGCCCGGCTCTCGGAGCCCGGGCGCCCCCTCTTGTCTCCCCACCCGTCTCTGGCGAGCCCAGTCCCTCCCAGGCGGGTCTCTGGAGGGCTGAGGGCACTGGGAACGGGGGGGGGGGAAGGTTCCATGGGGTTTGGCCCCTTCCCAAGGAAAGGTTTGGGAGGAGAGGGTTTATTTTCAGTAGCATGGCCGCGCCTCCACCCCCACCCCGGGGGGTCCTGTCGATCGCTTTACGCTTGCGGGGGTCGCGCGCCCGCGCCTGTGAGAGCCCAGGGAGGTTGAAAGCTGACCTTGCCCGTAGGCGGGCGGAGGAGACGTCCCCGCCCGCTCGCCGCAGACAGGCGGGACTGTACCTGGGACGCGCACGGGCAGGGCTGGGCCGAGGTGGGGGGCGCGCAGCTTCGGGAGGGGGGGACGAGGAAATTTACCGCTCGTGTCTGTAAACCCGGGCTTGGGGTAGGGGGCCTGGCGTCCCCTGCGTCCAGCCCTCAAGACTGGAGCCCCCTCGCCCCCAGCCCCGGGCCTCCCCGCCCGCCTGGCGCGGTGCCCCGGAGCCGCGTGCGCCGCGCCTTACCCAGCGGAGCTGCCAGGGCTGGCCCTGCGCGTTCTGGAAGCGCTTACCTGCGAGCACTGGGGCCCGCGGCCGAGGCCGGCGGGAAACTTCCCCGACCTGCTTGTTAGCATCGCTGCGGTCGCCGCTGCCGGCTGGCTGTGCGTGTGCGCGCGGGTGCGAGTGTGTGTGCGCCTGTGTGTGCGCCCCGCGGGCCGGCGGGCGGGGTCCGCCAAGCGTCTCCTCCTGTCTCCGGCCGGAGATGCAGCCGCCGCCCGCAGTTGCGGGAGGCTCACAGGTGGCTGCGTGGCCTCGCCGCTCGCAGAGCCCCCCGCTCTCGATCCGCGTGCCCTCAGCCCGCGAGAGAGACAACAGCCCGCGCCGCAGGAGCCCGCGGGAGCTGGAGCGGGAGCGGAGCCGGTGCGCCTCGGCTTGGCCCTGCGCTGGGGCGCAGCGCGGTGGTGCTGAACGGACAGCTCCACGCGCCCCAGCACCGGGCGCGGCCGCAGCCCCAGACTCCGGAGATGAAGCGGCCGCCGCCTCGGCTCCTCGGCTCTCCTCTGGCGCGTCACCGCGACCCCTTTGCGCCCCCGGCTCGATACAGGGCCGGCACCTTTCCCATCCCTCGGTGACAGCTGTTACTGCCACGCTCCCTCCTCCCAGGGTGCAGGCAGGGGACTGCCTAGGTGACCTTTTCCCACTGGGTGCGGGGCGAGAGCCCAGCTGGGGAAGGAGGGGCGGCTTGCGTGAGTCTGGGGGAAGGGCAAGGCTCGAGGGACCCGATGAAAAGTTTCCTGAAGCTGGGGGTGGGCGTTGGGGAAAGGCAGCTGGAGGGGAGAAAAGGGGCAGGGAAGCCTGAGGTCAGCTCATTTTAGCTTGCCAGGGGAGGGATCGCAGGCCCCACCTCCTGGGAGGGAGTCAAAGGAGTTCTTTTGCGGAATTCTGTACGGGCGCCCTGTGTGTAGGGTATAGGCCGGTGTGGTGTGCAGGCTTTAGAGGCTGGTAGCGAGCTGTGTGTGTGTGTGTGTGTGTGTGTGCGTGTAGTCTGAGGACAGTAGGACTTTTCAGTGTCTGTATGTGCAGTGTTGATAACAATGGAACATCCGAAGGGTGAGGAGATGTGTACAGTACAGTACAGTGCAGAGAACCTGGGGCATGTCAGTGTTGCCGGTCACAATGGGTGACTGGGTACAGTGAGCTGTATGCAGTGTAGTATTCAGTGGGACTGTGATGGGGTCTGTGTGTGATAAAATGAGCACTGTGTGCCTGTGGACACAGTGGGGACCATGTAGGCGTGGGTCCAGTGTGGACGTGTGTCCAGTGTCACTGTGTTCAGTATCTGTGTCCCCATTCCCCAGGAGACTTGCGGCCTAAATCTGAGCTCTTGGTCTTCAAAGATTATTCTTTAAGTCACTGCCTGTTGGGCCTGAGTTGAGAAATGGACCCACAGTCTCTGGGGAGCCCCCTCCCCTTAGTCTCTCAGCCCTTTTCATAGACCCCATTTGCAAATACTGGAGCATCATGTGAGTTAGCAGGGAGCTAGTGGGCTACAGGTCTTGGTCAGACGTGCCGGGGAAAGCCCTTGTGGTGGGCGCTGGACCAGCAGGACTGCCAGCCCAGCCACAGTGGAAAGCACATCCTCTCTGTATGTGGGCCTGGACTTGCTGTCCCATCTAGACAGGTGCCCTGGGAAACGCCAGTGCTTTGGGGCTCCCTGGATGGCCTGGGGAAGCCCCTTGATCTGGCTTTAGGTGGGGGCTCCTGAATCCAAGCCCGGCTTCACTTACAGGAGACTGTCCCTGTGCCAGCCTTGCTGGCTTCCAGATATGCGTGTGGGGGTGTGTGCAGGTGTGGGGCCTGCTGACGGGGCTCCACAGCCATGTCTCTGCAGGATCTGCAAGGGCAGGGGATTCCGGGGAGGCAGGCACATGTGGGAGGGGAGACTAGGGTGGTGAGGGTCACATGAGCTTCCTTTCTCTTGTGTCTGATGCTTTTAGAGAGGTGTGTGTGTGTGTGTGTGTGTGTGTGTGTGTGTGACAGAGAGGGGGTGGGGGAGAGAGAGAATCTGGTATTTGTCGTCTTTGTCTCCATCTCTGTTTCTGTCAAAGTCTGCATTTGGAGTATGCATACCTCATCCCCTATCTAGGTCTGTTGGATCTATCATTTGAAGTCTGCGGCTCCCTCCACACTGGCTAGCTTACAGTGTAGAGGCCCCTGGGTCTCCTTCACCCCCATGGGAGTGCTGCTGAGAGTGTGCCTGCGCTTGCTGAGGGTGTGTGTGTGTGTGTGTGTGTGTAAGTACACGCGTGATCGCCGTGTTGCTGCCTTTTCATTGTTTTTCACCCCCTCCCACATCTTGGGGGTGGCGGTGGCTGTGAGATCTCCCTGCTGCAGGTGTCCATCACAGCAACACCCGAGAGGTTGGCTCTGTGTGCCCTGTGGCTCGCTCTAACCCTTCGCTTCCACCCTCACTGGGTGCTGCCTGGCTTCTGACCACCCCAAAGCTCACAGCCCCCCTTCTGCTTCGCCACCACATGTCTGTGTGGCTTCTGCAGCATGGCCACCATTCCCAGCCACTCCCATTCCCTCGGCCTCGCTATGGTCTCTCCCTGGTTTAGCTCAGTGTATAAATCACCTTCTCTTGCCGAATTAGGAGGTCCCACCTCCCCGGGGAAGTGCTTGGGTTTGGTAACTCTGGGGTTCTCCTCCCTCCCCTGCTTTATTTATCTGCCTGCCTCCTTATGTTCCTGTCTGTTTTTGTTCTTGCTCATCCCTTCTTCCTTTATGGTCGTGGGAGATTTCACTCCATGGGCCCATGAAGAGAGAGCCCCCTCTGCCTTCCATTTCTCTTTGTTTCTCCCACCCCCACGACCACCCTACCTGTGCTCTGCCCAGGCCCGTTGGGCTTTCACCCATCTCGGTTCCGCACCTCACTCCCTCCTGCCCCCCTTCCTCCTTTCCATTGCACTTCCCTTCCTCCCTCTCCGCCACTCTCTCATCCACTTCCACAGCCCAGAGAGCTGTGCCAACATGGCCCCAGCTGCTCTGCAGCCTAGTGTTCACACCTGCCCTTCGTTAGCTTTGCCTGAGGTCAAGGGCCCCCACACCCACCTTTCCTTGAAGGGGAAAGGAACTTAAAGGCTGCAGAGAGAAGCCCAAGCTTGGGGCATCTCAGTTATTTCTTGGAAAGGCTGAGGCTGGAGCTCTGTGTGTCTGACAGATGCCTTTGCAGAGGGTTAAGTGTATGTGACAGGCAGAGCCGCCTGTTTATTTCCCAGCCACTGCGCCGAAGAGAAATGGAGCCGTCTCCCTCCTTCTGTACCAGGGACGCTGGCTGTGTTTATGGTTATTTAGAGGTCTGAGCCCTGATCTTAAAATACAGCTGCCCGCTCCAGGCACACATCAAGGCCTGCCTCCGGGCTGGCCTGCCAGGGAGATTCCTGAAGGGGCGGAGGGGTGGTGGGAGAGGCACCCTGGGAAGGGGGACAAAGGGACCCCCCAGTGGCCCAGATCCCTGCACCTGGGTGACTGTTATCTCTGCCTCCCCTGCCAGCACTGATCTCTCAGTTGAGCCCACACATCTCAGAGTCGGCTTTTGTCTCTGACAGGCGAGGGGGCTGCGCCCGCGGCTTGGCTGAGGAGGCTGGGCTGCCTGACCTACATTCCCCACCACAGAGCGGCTGAGCACTCGTCCTCCCTCCGGGGGTGCCTGTCATCCCACTGGAACAGACTATTCACCTGTGTCCATCCTGCTCCCTACCAGCACCCTTCCCATCCCAGCCAGTGGCTCCTAAAGACACAAACCAGGTCATGTCTTTCTTCCTAAAATCCTTTCAGGGGCTCCCTATCAAACTGAAAACAAAAGCCACTTCCTTACCACAGTCACAAGACCCTCCATGATGCACCCCTGCCCAGCTCAGACTTCATCCCGTTGGTCTCTCCTCTACCAGTTATGCTCTAGCCACATGCCCCTTTGCTCCATCCACAGGGCCTTTGCATCTACTATTCTCTCTGCTTCTCATGGCAGCTTGACACAGCAGGTGTCTTGTCGCTTAGGTCTTGCACTGAATGTCACCTCCTCAAAGAAGCCCAACTGCCCAATTTAAACTGGATCCTGCAATCAGTTTCTATCGTTTCTTACACAGAACTTATATTAAATCATTATTGAATATGTGATTGAATGATGAACGAATGAGGCTCCAACTCCTATGTTAATGTTGTTCTGTGCTAGCCTGAGTCTTGGCCCCACCTCCTCTTCCTCCGATGGAGCCAGAAGGCAGCGGGAAAAAGAGGAGCTGCCGTGCCTGGGACTATGGCTTGGGGACCCCAGACTCTGGGTTGCTCTCCCAAGTAATTGGTTAGACCAATGGGTCTCATCCCTGGCTGCACGTTCGAATCACTCAGGAGCTTTTAAAATAGCCAAAGCCCCCAGATGCCTTGGGTCTCACCCCAGACCAATTAAATCAGAATCCCTGGTGTAGGGCCAGGGAATCGATGTTTTCTGAAAGCCCCTGAAGTGATCGCAATGTGGAGCCAAGGTGGAGAGCTGGAGCAGCATGTCTTTGGGGGCGTGCACACAGAATCGCCTGCCTAAGTGCAGCTCACGGGTCAGCACCAAAGGCTGGGGGCTGGGTCTTACTCAGCTTTGTAAATACCCACCCCCACCCCACTGTGAAGTCAGTGTCTGCCCAGAGTGGGGCACCACAAGTGCCGGTATATGTGTGCCTCTCAGGATCACTTAGAGATAATTTGTCATTAGCAATAGTCAGGATTTCTTCTTCACCTTGGAGCCCGCAGGCCTATCTGGGTGGATTTACAGTGCAAAAGGCACAGAGAAGCTGCTGGGGGCAGAAGCAGACCCGAGAGAAGAGGGAAGCGGAAGGGGGGCATGTCCTGGCCTGGGCCTGGGACCTGAGCCTTGGAAAGGAGGGCAGGGAGGAGGGGAGGACTGACACTGGTGTGGGAGATTAAGAGAAAATGGAGGAACAAAGGGTTTTAAATTTTGCTGCATTCCGAATGCAATCCCTCATTAAGTGTTTCCTCAAGAGGCCATGGTAAATATTTATGTGGCTTTTGCATTGTTTCTGGTCATAGGACTGAATATATTGTATGTGAGTTTTTGCCTAGGCCCTTTGGCCTTTCCCCAGAAGCCACCCTCCTCTCCTCCTGCAGCCCCTGTCCCTAGGCTCCCCTGGAGGGCAACAGGGAGGGAAGGTTGTTTCCAAAGGGCTCTTCTCCGAGTCCCTTGGTGCAAAGAGATGCCCAGATGTCTCACGGCTGGCAGGCACAGGAAGTGGGGCCTGGCCAACCTACCTTCTGCACCTCTGTTCCAAGGGCCTTCTCCTGGGGAGGCTTCCCTATGAGCCCTGCTGGGAAGAGCATCATGGGGACCC